AGAGCTTCCCTTTTCTAGAAAAAAAAAAAGATTTCTCAAAGAGTTATCAATGGTCAAAGATTATGGTATATTTAATTTATACATGAAAGATTGTAGTGAATTATGAAAAATAAATTTATTTGCTTCATAAATTTATATTACTTTTTGGTAATTTTTTAGTGCCCTTTCCAACCAAAGAATAATGATTGTGGGTACTACATTATGAAATATATGAAGGATGTGATCATCCATGATCAAACTTTTATCCCATTTGAGGTATGAAAAGTTATCTAGTTTTATTTAATTTTATTTAGGTTATAACAATTTTTAATTATATATATATATGACTTCTTGTTTTAATATATTTTGTAGTACTTTGAGGACACAAAGTGCTTGGAATATAGTGATGAGCAAATTTATGATCTAATTTAGGAGTGGTTATCATTTGTTTTGAATTTAGGACACTAGAGCTTTGATATTTGTTGAATGCTTTTAAGGTTTGAGGCTTTTAGAATATGTCTTGGCCTAGCTAGCTAGTTAGGGAGCTTTATTAATATAGTTGTAAACTACTTTGTTGTACTATAAATATATGTTTTGTAATTTTTTTTATTGTATAACTGAATTATTTGCAAATTACTAAACTGGTTGTATATTGTTGGATCTGTTGTTTTGATGAAAAATTTTGGTGTATAATATTTAAGAAAATTTATTTAAAAAAAACACATTTCCTATCTCAAATCCATAGATGGAAGAAATACCACCTCTCTGAAATAACATATGTGGCGTTTCTATGTTCTAGAAATGTCACCTACGTTATTTAAATTTAAAAAAAAATTATGAAATGATAGAGGTGACATTTACAAAATAAAGAAATGCTACCTCTGTATGATTTTTTATTTTTAAAAATTGTTTCACAAAGGTAGCATTTATTCTTATTGAAAATGCCACCTTTGTGAATAACAATATGTAATAAATGCCACCTCTCTTGAGGTATTTCAAAAATTAAGCTGAGAGAGGTGGCGTTTGCAAAAGTAAACGTCCTCGCTCTATCATAAGTCTTATGGCATTTTAATAATTAATGAAGCGCCACTGGATACCTATTATAACATTGGATCTTATAGCATTTTATAAACATTATGAAACTAAAATTTTAAATGCCACCAAAGGCTATTTCTACAATAGTAATAGTCTGTCAATTACCAAAACTATATATGTGATATAATTTAAGTTTAGAATAACCAATTCTGATCTTAGAATGAACTATTCATCTTTAAAGTATTCTAAAAAGTTTTCAATTGTGCATTAGAGTTTAGCATTTATTTATTATTCTTGATAAAATTTGTGAAAAAGCTTTAACAAGTTTCTAATTTTTCATTTATAATCTATCTACTTTTCAAAAGAGTTTTTTTGTAAAAGTTTTATTCTTCAACTGAAATCTTGAAAAGGTGTTTTTTAAGTAATTTATAACAACTTGCTAGTTATAACAAGGTTTGTTGTTGAATCAAGACAAGTTAAGCTTTGAGAACTGTATTATAGTAGCAAACACCCATTGAAACTTGTGAGTTTAGTTAAAAATCTCAAGTGTGATCTTAAGGACTGGATGTAGGTCAAGTTTTGGACTAAATCAATATAAATTTTGTGTGTCTTATCTCTTCTTTCCTTGCTCCTATCTTCCTTAGGTTTCAAGTTTTTCAAAAATTTTAGTGTCATCCAACTCAGCCCCCTCTCGGGTGTAGCTTATCCAACAATTAGCACTCGAAAACTCATATGCTCTCTCTCTAGGTTTCTCACTCATCTTTTATTTTCTTTGCCTTTTTTATGAACTCCTTATCTTTTATTTTCTTTGCCTTTTTCATGAACTCCTTATTTCTTCAAATTTCAAAATCCCTTTATTGTCAACGTCAACTACAGAGAAATGCAAAAGCATGGCTAAAGAGTAGGAGTAGTGACACAAGAGTCATAAACATAAAGATGGAGAAGAGGTTGATAACTCTAAGATTAAGAGATCTTTTTCTGTTTTCAATGTCTAGGTCGGTTAAAAATGTGATTAGTCCTTAGCATTTCACTCAACTTTCCCTTAGTCTCTTCTTTTACATCTATTTTCCCCTTCTATGGGACCTTATTCTTCCTCATTAAAGGGCTCACAAGTGAATTTGATTCTTTTCTTATTGAAAACCCTAGGATGTTTTCCTTAGAGCCTTCAACTAAGGTCAACTCCAATGACCTAGAAATTTGCCCTTGCTCTTCATCTAACTCTAAGGGGACAAATTAAAGTTTAACTTTAGATCAATCTTAAAGTATTGTTGTTAAGGGTCACTAGAGTGATGCTCCTCGGGTGCTTTGCTTATAACTCACTCTAAAGGCCTAGAGTTTGTCTTCAACTCCTTGCTTTCAACTTGTTCGAAAGACTTAAAGTAAGCCTCTGCTTCTTTACCCTTGTGATACTAATCTTAGGAGCTATTACAAAAGTTTCTTCCAAACTCTTTAGATATGTTTCTTTAAGAACTCATAGTGATTCATGTGAAATCCTTCTTCTTATTGGGCTCAACATCTTTCCACATACATCTCTTCCTTAATGAGGTTCCTCATCCAAATCTCATAGAGCTCATAGTGGAGACATATATCTAATCTATCAAGCTCGACACTATACTTTATCTATTGTTCAAGGCACCTAAAGGACTCATTCAAATTTATGATGACTATTCCTATACAATCTTGAAACTCCATTGGCTGCACAAGGATGCAACTCTATACTATCTCTGTAGGTATGTAGTCTTCCTCTAGCTTCACAAGGGTGTAGTTCCATGTTGGCTCCATAAGGGTGTGATTATAGGTTGCCTAAGTCCTTGATTCTTCTAGCTCCTAGATCACTAGATTTTGGGAAGTCCAGATCACAGGCTCTTAAGCATGTGACATCTCATTTGCTTTACATATGCTCTGATCCCTGAGTCTATTGGTTCCTAAAACACTAGCTCTTGGGGAAACTAGTTGATCACTAACTCCATGGGTGTGTGAATCCACATGACTCTATTGATGCATGGATCTCTAGCTCTACATGTGGGTAAATTCACGTCAGCTTTGCAAGTATGTTGATTCATGGGGGAATCTCTAATGCTAATAGAACCTAGTTCACAAGAACATTCTGTGAGTCATGAAACTTGATAAAATCTTCATCTTCATTACATCCAATTTGTGAGAGTACCATTGCTACATATGCACATGTCCCACGAGGTATGCCTTTTTTGTTGGCATTATTTTCATTTGGTTGTGTGTTCAAGCATGCCAGAGGAGTTTTTCCTTAAATGGTGCAATGAATTTGACTTTTAAATTAAATTGTGAGTTCTTAAGACCCTTTTTGACAATTTTCCAGAATGCAAACAATTAGAAATTAAGAAAATAAAGAAAGATATTTATCAAAATGTAAGAACTGCAAAGTGGAGTAAAAATAGTACTATTATTATTCTAAAATAAATTACAAACAATTTAAGATGAAAAGATAAAAAGAAAAATATTGGAGCAACAAGACTGTAATTCTATTGAGTGTTGTTCCTCTACTGGTTGCTAGAAACTTGATGCTTTTTGATGGATGCATGAGGGCTGATATGGAGGAATTGGACAGAATTTTGTAGAAGGAAGTGTACGTATGTTTCCTTTGCTATTGGTTGATTTGTTGAAGAGGTTGAAGAGAGTTGGCATGTTGTATCTTGCTTATCCATATATATATATATATATATATGCAGGAAATTTATTTTTGTCGGAAGACAACTTGTACATATATTTCTTTAGTGTCCATGGAAGAAAATGCATACGATTGAAGAAAGCTTCCCCATATATATGGAAAGCAACGTGAACATATATTTCTTTAGTTTCAACAAAAGAAACATGCATATGCATGGTTGATGAAGGTTGTATACAATAGAAGGAATTTTAAATACACCGAAGAAGGCTATATGTGGTGGAAGAAAGATAAATTGAAGAAGCTTATGCATGTTTATTCCATGGACACCAAATAAATAATTGTACAATTATTTTTGCATATATGCAAGTTTCTTTCACTGTATCCATATTCTTCATACACTGAAGAAATAATACATGCACGTTCCCTTCCATGTATGCAAGTATTCTTCCTTTGAATACATGTTTCTTTCATCACAGGAGTTTTTAGGGAAAAAAATTTTGATATCAGAAAAATTCTATATTTCTTAACAGTATAATTGCATGACATTTTTCAGGATGTCAATTTTTTTTTTCAAGATATAAAGACAATAAGTTAAGAGGTAGTGGATGATCGTAATTAAGAAGTCGAACTTCGTCACCACCACATGCAGTGAAGGCGATATGTTGAGTAAAAGGATGGGATATTGCCAAGGATTGTGAGAGGTTCCACAATAGTAAAAGTGCATTGAACGAAACTAGAGAGTGACTAATAATAGATAGAATGCATGACGGAGGAGTGGTTGCACACATAGATAGCCCCTTTCATAAGGTGAGGCCACTCCTAGGTCTGCCATGTAGTATCCTCGTTGATCTTCTTTGATGTTGTGCAACTTATTCCGGTGCATGTGGAGTACTTGAAAGAAGAAGAAAGTGAAGGGGATATAAAGATGAAGCAAAATGTTAGAAAATATATTCGATACATTTTTACAAATTTAAAATAAATGGTAAAAGTAGGACCTTTGCATAATTAATTTAATTTTATGTACAGGTTCTTTTAACAATTTTCCCTAAAATTAATGATATATTTAATACATTTTCGGCACATTTTTTTGTATAATTTATTGTTCCAATGTTTGAGTAGTAAACAGAAAATTTAGAGAAGAAAACACAGACGTCATCACAATAGTGAAGACATTTTTGTATAATTTATTGTTTCAATTTTTGAGTAATAAACATAAAATTTAGAGAAGAAAACCTAAATGCCAGAACAATACGCTAGGACTTACAACTTTATAACCAATGACCGACACAAACATGGAGTAGCATAAGGCTTTTCCATTTGATGACTAAATCACCGATCTATGTTAAATCCTTTGAACGATGAGAGGTACTCCATATTCTGGTTGCAAAGAGATTCTATACACTATAGAGTGCTTATAATTTGGTGAAAGAGAGAAGCTAAAGCGAGAGATAATAAGTGCTGGCACAACCTTCAATTCCACCATTGCAAAGTACTTCCCCAAGCACAAGCGATTACCCACTCCAAAAGGCACATATGCATTTGGGAATTTGCAAGCTTTAGAGACACCATCATTAAACCTCTCTGGTTGGAACTCATTAGCATCTGGTCCCCAGATAACAGGGTCTCTATGCAACATTGGAATTAGAACCCATAAACAAACTCCTTTCGGAACAAGTAAGTTTCCTATTTGGATATCTTCATATGCTTCCCTTGACAAGAAAGGTCCCGGTGGAAACAAGCGCAAAGATTCATGAATTACCATTGTCATCTGCGTATATAAACTTCAAATTCATTATCAGAAATTGAATGGATGGTTGAGAATTTGATTTATTATATCTTTAAGACATTTTTTATTTTAATACATGTAAAATTAAAAATAAAGATAATTGCTTAATCATCACTTTACTCAAAAAAGAATTTATTAAATAAAAATTATAATTTGAAATTTTAAAATTTGGATTATTATCCAAATAAAAGTATAGTCTAGATCAGATATCGATAAGAACTTATGTGATTTGCACCAAAACCAGATCCTTAATTAATAGGTCAAACTTTTGACATGTGAATCTCACCATTATTCTCTCAAAACTACTACTCTCGTTATTTTGTGTTGAATCACTTAGAAGATTAACATGAGAAAGATTTTTTTTCTCAAGAGGAAAAAGAAAGCTAAGTCCAAGTTTAATTGTGAGTACCTTTTTAAGGTTGGGGAGAGAATCTGCATCTGGGATTCCATTAGGACAAACTTGAGCAATCTCCTCCCTGATTGAAGTTTGCCATTCAGGGTGTAAAGCAAGAAGCATTAAACACCAAGTGGCAGCAGGAGCAGTGGTCTCGTGCCCAGCAAAGTATATATTCTTGCAATTATCCACTATGAATTTCTTGGAGAACTCTTGACCTACATTTTCATCACTTTTGGATGCTTCCAAAAGTAAGTGCATCAGATCCTTCTTAGATGACCTTGTCTCTGAAGAGTGTTGTTCTTGCTTACGTTTGTCCACTAACTCCCATATCAGTGACTCTATCTCTCTTTCCAATTTACTCACCTCGTTTTCCTTCCTTGTCAATAAATCAAACATGCCCCTGCCATCAACCAATCAGCATGCTTAATTAGCCTCAGGAAATTTATTTAAGTAGCATTCCAATTGGTGGATTTGGATTTAAATTTTAGAATTAAAATCTTATATTCCAAATCTCATATTTACAATTCATGTAAAATCCTTTTTTAGGGAGTTTAAAAAATTTCACAAAGAGAAGTGAATTGAGAGATTCGAAACAAAAATGAAAAGTTAGAAATACTGAGTTTGGCTCTATTTTTCAAAAATCCAAGTCCCTATCAATCCAAATACACCATTAAGAAATTCAAGCCCGATCTACATATATACTACATGCACATTCTTCTTCAAGCCACTTATAAAGACAAAAGAAAAAAATGAAACAAATAAATACTCCCTTCATTCAAAAATGTAAGGCAATTTAACTGAATCTCACCCAAAAAAATAGTTACTTATTTTCAAACTAATCCTATCTTTTCATATTTACCTCTATTAAATATCCTATAAAAAATATAGTCATTCATTAATAGGAGCATTTTTTACAAAAAAGCAATGATTACACATTGAAAGACTAAAAATACCTTACATTTTTTAACATCTAACTTCTCAAAAATTTCTTATATTTTTGAATGGATGGAGTATAATTTAAAATTCTGTACAAGAATATACCTCATCGGCTTATCTTGCGTCATTGGTGTATATTTCTTTATACAAAGTTTTCTAATCAGCTTCTCAAGTTAAGCTTCATAGGAGTGTGATACAATTTTGATACAATTTTAAAAGTTAAAAAAAAAAGTTTACAAAAAATGAGTTTAGATTCTCAAATGTTTTTAAACCTATTTAAAGGCCAATTTGTTCTTTTACCTAGTAATAACAAACTAACATTTCTACACAAAAAGCATGCACGAAATAGTGTTTTATTCTTATTGCATATAGTTTTTTGGACTATAAGTTGATCATTGTGGTGATTAATTAATTAATTTATTAATTTGCATACGCAAAATTAACAAATTAATGGAGGAGACTGCTCACCGAAAACTGGAGAGTCCGAAAATGAAGCCACCTTTGTTGAACATAAGCTTCATTATACTTCTAAGTTTTGAGATAATCTCTTCTCCTTTAGAATAAGAATGACCAAAACAAAACCTAGAAATGACGTCAGCTGAGAAGCTCCTCAAATCTGCTTCAACTTCGACTTCTCCAAATCCGTTCTCACTATTAATTGATTGGTCCCATTTTGATAGCAAAGGCCGTGCCGATTCTACCATGAGCCCCACCATATCCTGCCAACAAATTAAACCGTGCTCATCTCTTACCCATGATAAAATTTTAATTATAGATAGATGAGAATAAGATATAAAATTAGCTAATCAGTGCCTTTAATTTCTGGGTTCACTGCTTTATGCTTTAAAGCACGGGGAACGGGTATAAAATCTGGCCATCCAAACTAGAATAAGATTCAAAATTTGAGACAAGTCCCATACTAGATCGGTCCCGTGATCCTTTTTCAATCCATCAGAAATATGTTATTGGTGTGATAATTTAACACTAAAAGTATAGCGCATGCTTAAATTTTAGGATGCTGAATCTCTTTCAAAAATATCTTTTTCCAATATTACCCCCCTCTCAATTTAATACTAATTAAGTGTAGATTTAAGGTTATTAAATTAAGAGTATTTTTTAAAGTTTATATTTTTATATTTTGAAAAAAATAAAATTATTAAGTCTATTTAATAAAATTTATTGGTATGTGAGGTATTGTCTAAAGGCATCTTATAGTTTATGATGGACTCAATGGAGTGAGTATTTCTTTTTGTCAAATTTAATTTGCATTGGTAACTACTCTAGGCTAGAGGCCTTTAATATATCTTTCTTTAATATCTTTTGTAATACCATAACTTCCCCAATTTCATTCTTTTTTTTAGTATTATTGGCTTTTATATAAAATAAAAAACGTTTTAATATCTTGAATTTTCAAAATGGTGAAATTTTATATTTTTTATGATTTTTCAAAAATATTATCAGTTGAATAATACCAACAGTAGCCAAGTCGGTTTTTTTTTAATTACTAACAATTCTTTAGATAAAATAATAAGTGGTAACACTTTACACATACTTGTATTTATAACTGGAAAAAAGAATGTATTATGTCAGAATTTTTTTTAATGACAGATATCTTAGACACATATCTATAGCTATATATATATAGAGAGAGAGATTAGAAACTATAACGTTATAAAGAAAGAAAACCCATGTCCTGAGGAAATATTGTTAATTAATGAATGAATAATTTCTAGCCAATTTATGTTTTGTCAAAATACATACTATCTAATGAATGAACATGAACAAAAATGAAGGCGAGTAAAGGTGGACTATGAAAAATTACAATATTTTCGGAATAATTATGCACCTTAACTTTGTCCATGAAAAACTCATCTGCCAGAAGCTTCTTCTGGTGCACCCAACTAAGCCCATTTGCTCTTAAAATGCCATTTCCAAGTAAGGGAGCGAGAATGTTGGTTGTATCAGAGGGCTTTCCAAAGTTCAAAGTAAAACATTGGTTCATCTCTCTCAGCATCTCTGGTTCGTTCACAAATAGGCACTGCTTCTCCCCTGTAGAGCACGTGTATTGTCGACCTGCAATTCATGCATGTTACATATTCTAGGTATCAGTCAAAGACATGTACTTAAGTTATTAATTTTGCATAAAAATAAAATAAACTTTGAATTTTATCTCTATTTAAGTAAAAAATTAAATTTAATTTTCATTACTTTCTCTTTTACAATTAATGAGTTTAAATTAAGAATGATTTAAAATTTATTTTTGGCCAAAAAAAAGAAAAATTTATTAAATTATTTATATTTATTCTAATGATACCCCTTAACTCAAAATTTTCTTCAATTAGGGCAAGCGTTACCAATCTGTTATTATTTTTCAAAAATGTCAACACGAGATTGAATTTATAATATAGTAATATCTCATTCATGAATATCATATTTTTATACAAATCCTTAAAGTTTAAATGCATGAATGCATAATAAATGCTTGTTCTTTGTTCTTGGCTAAGCACGATAAATGTTTCCAACGAGCCTGGACGTATGTACTCAGCAAGACATTATTAAATTATTTATTTAATAGTTCCCATAAATACAAATGAATAAAGGTGTATTTTTACCCTTAAAATATTCTTCGAGAATCCCCCAACACTCTAAACTATCTATTCAAGTAATTTTGCCCCTAAAGTAATTAAAATGGAGCATTTTGCCCTTACCATCAAATTCCCAACATCAATTGTTAGAAATATTGACAAAGACTCCAACATTGACCGTTAAAGAATTTAACAAAAATGATAAAAATGCTCTATTTTAATTACTTTTAGGGCATAATTGCTCTAACAAATAGCTTAGGATATTAGGTGCTACTTGAAGAATACTTTAAGAGCAAAAATGCACCTTTATCTATTAAAAATTTAGTAACCTTTGATCTTGGCTACACATATAGAGGGAGTATTTTTCTTAAAAAATTATTAAAAAATACAAAGCTATACTATATTGTGTAAATAAACAAACTAGTTCTTAAACTATATATCCAGAAGCATTTGGGGCCCCACACTTATCTTTTGTGCCATATTTTTTTTTTAACTTTTAAAAAAGGTGCAATTTGAAAAATTAACTTTAACTGTTAGTTAATCATAAAATGAACAAAAAAGACCTCAAAAATTACAGAAAAAGAATAAAATAATTTTTTTGGTCCTTTTTAGTAATTTTTTGGGTCTTTGTCTGTAACTTTTAGGTCCTCCACTGTAATTTTGAGTTCTTTTTTGTAATTTTTAAATTTATTTTCTTTCTTTTTTGATCAACTAATGGTCATAGTTAACTTTTATCAATAGTAGAAGTTAGATTGCATCGTTTTTAATAAATTGAAGTGAAACACTGCACAAAATATGAGTTTAAGGCTCCAAATACTTTTAGACCTATAGTTTTGAAGTCAATTTACTCATTGACCTTACTACATTTCATAATTACAATGTTATTAAAATGTTTGTAAAAGCTTATGATGAAAAGAAATGGGAAAAGTTCATCGAAAAGGGGGAAAAATAAATAGTGCAAGAACGAGATAGTATACAAAGGATATTAGAGGGTATGGCATTCTGCTCCTGATAAATTAGGAATAAGAGCAACACCTATTCATGAAGTACAATCAATAAAATGTGGTTAAATTATTTTATCTGACAATAAAATAAACTTTCAATTTTACTTCTATTGATGAAATAATTTTTTTCAAATTTATATTATATTCTCTTTTATAATTAATGAATTTAAATAGAAGTAATATTAAAAAATATAATTAATATCACATTAATTATCTTATATTAAGAAACACAAAATTCTTCTAAAAAACATTCCATAATATATAGAAACCAAGGAGCAATTAAAGTGAAATTGAATTGAAGAGAAAAGTGAGTTGTTATTACCGTATTGTTTTCGCCAATGTTCAAAGTAAGGGAAGAGGTTGGAATTGTAGTCATGAGCCATTAAAAGATGAGAGTGGATAGAGGAGAGTAGAGGAGCAGATTTAGGCTGAGATTGTAATTTTCGCATTTCAGACACATTATTGCCATACACAATAGAAGGAGGAGGCCCTCTTATTCCTTGCACTCTCAACTTCCTTCTCACTCTCTCCCACTTCCACCACACAACACTGTACTTAAAAGCAATCCAACTCAACATCCCCACAACACTTACACAAAGAGCTACCTCAAATGACACCTCCATTGTCAAAACAAATTTGAATTTTCTTAATTATTCTACTTTAATAATATCGCACAGACCTAGGGATTTGATTAATTATTATATATATGGATGTGTTTCTTCTTAAATATAGTAAATTTATTTCATGAACATCTTTCCATTAGTATTAGAGAATATATACATAGGAGATTCATATCTGCATGTACATTAATTATATCTCTTTAATGTTAGAGTATATGTATGGAGGAGATTCATGTGCATGTACACTCTCTCACTATTACAAAAAAGAGCCTATATTTTCTTTGATATCTAGAGAGAGACTATGGGATTTGATTAATTATTATATGGATGTGATTTATATGCTTAAATAGTAAATTTCATGAATGTCTCTATATTTGGGCTAAATATGAAACATTGCTTCCCAAAGCGTTTAAATCGGCCATGAAGCCACATGGGCCAAGTTACTGAAGAGTCAAGCCTAATCAACAATTTAAACAAAGGAGCCAATCCTGAGTTCAGTAGAGAGTCACGGTCAGATAAACATGTCAAAATCCTATAAGTTGCAAACCCACCTTGTGGACCATTAGTACATAAAGACACGATCTTAAACAATCCAGGATCTTGCAAGAACAACATCATTGTGCTTAAGTATCTTGATGAGATGGGCTGGTTATTTAAAATAGAAGACAATGATTAAAGACCATGTCATGAGTTTCACAGGATCCCTAATTATTCGTAAGAACACTTCATATACTAAGAAAGAGGCTACCATCACTCTATCACTATAAATAGAGCATCAAATCACAAAAGAACACATGGATAGCACCCGAAAGAATCACATTTTGCACCCATAGTTCTTAGGTTTATCAATTAGTTTTATCCTCAATTTAGACTTGTAATCGTTTACATTTGGTAATGTTTCAATGATAATCAAATACTTATTTTGCTAAGTCTTGCATATCTTTTACATTTTGGTAAATTGTGGTAAGGGAGCCCAAGGAACTTTTATTATCAATTAAGACTCAGCGTTTTTGGCACGCTTAGTAACTTGTTGTTCACGATGAATAATTTTTGGCATGCTTGATAGGACACGTGTGAACGAAATGCCTAGGACACTGAAGGATCAATATATTATTGGAAAAAATAGACATAAATCTTACAACTTAGAAAACGCAGTTACACATATAAAATGTGAAGTACGAGCTAATGAGATGCAAAGAGCTTTGTTGCAAACTCTAAAAGATGGGCTAAGGAGTATCTTTGCTATGTTGTCTAAACCATCACAAGAGCAAGCTCTAATTAGCTCACACCTTCAAAGAATAAATGGATATGGGGGCAGTCTCCCAATGTGCCCTTCGACCTGAAGATTAACAACGAGGACCACTATAACATCTCTCAAAGGATAAATGATGAGACTAATTCAATAGCAAGCCCATTTGGCCATAAGGGCTAAAGTCACTAGGGCCAATACCAGAGGGGCTAAGTCATAGGGGCTAGTGCCACAAGGGCTGCAGCCATAAGGGCTGAAGTCACAGGGGCCATAACCATAAGGGCCACCACCATAGGGGCTGGAACTATAGGTGTCGAAGCACCAAAGGGGCCAGAGCCATAGGGGCCAGCACCAAAGGGACCAAAGCCACAAGCGCTAGGACCATAGAGATTGAAGTCATAGGGGCCATAACTATAAGGGCCAACACCATAAGTGTTGGAACAACAAGGGCCGAAGCACTAACACTACCACAGAAAATACCCATATTTGACACTTATTTTTTACAATACTTGACAGTTTTTAACTGTCAAGTAAGGGTGTGACATATATTAAAGAAATAATACTTGACGGTTTTTAACCGTCAAGTATTAATCTTATACTTGAAAACTGTCAAGTATTAATCTTATACTTGACGGTTATTTGAAAAAAACCGTCAAGTATATGAACTAAATATGCACTTTTCAGAATAAATACTTGATGCTTGTTTCAAAACAAGCGTCAAGTATTTGTAAATACTTGATGGTTATAAGGAAACAAACATCAAGTATTGATGGCCAAAACCCACCAGTTCGTTTGGCCATAAATACTTAACGCTTGTTTCCTTATAACCATCAAGTATTTACAAATACTTGATATATTGATACTTGACAGTTATTTTGAAATAACTGTCAAGTATTTATGGCATAATTTTTTTTAAATATGGTGGCTGCTTTTAAAGTAGCCCCCTGCATAAAGATATAGATAAAGATAAAAACCAGCCAACTAGCAACGAAAATAATGCAATATAATGAATGTTTGTAACAGTATCTCCTATCTAATTAACATAAAAATTCCTATACATTTAACCTTAAAATCTAAAAATTCAACTTATTTGCAAACTAATGTTCCAAAACTAAGTGACCTATCTCATAAAAATTGACCCAAAAAATGTGTATATAAATGTAACTAACTATTGTACCGGCCTAACTACTATTGCTACCCACATATTGAAAACACATTGGACTACCTCTTCAAGGACCTCTTCTACATGTGCAGCCATATAACGAACGCAATAGACATCCTTGAAGTACTGTAAGCAAATAGTCACAACAATTTCAAGTTAATAGGTAGCTAATTAAAATTGTTTAAAATTTATAATTGAAGTGTAATTAAATTTTATATACCTTGTCAAATAATGTGGTAGGGGCATGAGTGATAATGTCCTTCATGAACTTCATCAAGCAATAACCACAGTCATTACTCTAATCTGGCTGGAATGGACACTGTAAAAAAACACATATCAATGAAATTGTAAATTATAATGAGACAGTTTTTTGATTAAAAACTTGACCAATTGAATGAATACCTTAACAGTGACCCATTTCTCTGAAGATTCGAATGCCCTCATCTTCGGGGACACAGTCATGTCGGTCGCAGTGTGATACAACACCACAGCTCTAAGAAGGAATTATGGAATGAATGTGAAAAATATATATGAATGAAAACTAAAAATAAAAAGAAATAACAAGTAAAAAAATCAAACTTACTCATTAAAAAGTACCACCATATCTTCCCTGTTGTTTGGCTTTCCATTAAAGGGATCGAGATACCATATTTTTGGAGCAACGGGATTAACCACAATAAGCATCCAATGTCCTCTAACAAAAAATAACACATGTTACCAAACAAATAAATATAAAAAAAATTTACTCGTAACAAATATTAACAACTCACCCATGACCATAAGGAGCGAGAAATAAAGTATCCTTGCTGCTCCCCTTTCTCAAAATTGATCCGAAAGCATTCTTGCTTGATTTTCAAGGGCTTCCTTTGTAATATTATTGTGGGGAGAGACATCATGAAGATTAACCATCTTGATCTTCAACTCGAGGCTACCAGGAACCACGAATAAGGTATAAAGGTGACTTGGGTGAAAAAATATATAAGTTAATATGCTTGCATAATCACACATATAAATAATTCAAGAAATTAACTAATGAATCTTGAAGAATTACCTCATGTAGAAAGTCATCAAACTAGTGCTCGCCATATTATACTTGAGGATTTTATTCAAAATTTCATCCCAAACGACTTCAAATGATGCTCTACTAAATAGCCCATCATCAAAATTAATGATATCCCCATTCGGCACTTGATGAATCATCCTCGTAGCCGAAGCATGGGTCTCAAAAGAGTCACAAAATTTGTTTTCTACAACAGGCATAGGCACTGCGTGTTGCGAAACTGTGGCTGACTCTTTAGTATAGCCCGACACCTTGCCCTTCAGTTTGCTTTTCCCCCTTGGCTATACAATGAAAAAGTTAGACATATATATATATATATATATTAAAGATTCTAAATAATTATATAAATCATATATACCTTTTTCTTTATTGGCAAGGGGTCCTTTGGCAGCTTTGGGTCCTTTGTCGGCATTGGTGTACCAACTATAACAAGGTGGCTGGGCCATACAACAAGCTCCCCAACGCATCTCCTACCATCTGCATCTCATCAGTAGGATAAGGTAATAGATACTTGGGGTCGATTACAACAAGCAAGGAAACCTTAATGCAATTGGGCGAGAGGGGAAGGTTATAGATTGTGTCCCTGGCAATGTTATACATGCGTCCCGTTGCAACTACTTTGCGTGACAGATTGTCTGCTAAACAGTTGCAGTCATTCTCGCCCTAAATAAATGAAGAATGTCAGTTGTTTAGATAAAAAATTAGTTAAGCAAATTTATAAGAGAAAATGCATTACCTTAGGTATTTTGTCTAAAGGGACTGTGCATCTATCTTTCCCGTTGGGGCTAATGTCAACCAAAAGCCTCCCAGGGATCTACCCCTTTAATAGCATGTCAATTAACTTCGCCTGGGCTTCTAGCTATTGCTTGTAAGAAATGGCCTGTCTGCTTGGACTGTTAGCTAACCATCTCAATTTTTTAGAAACTGAATTAGAATCAACATTTAACATTTGAAGAATGTGCTCCTTAAACCATCTTGTAAAAATTTTATTGTGTTCCCTAGCATACCAAATTTTTGATTTATTGAGATTGTCCCTCCTAAGTTCAGCTATATGCTTGTCTACATACTCTTCAACCTCTTCTGTGTTGTGTAACACATATAGGTGGGCTTCCTCCAACTGTGCACTTGACATAGTAATGACTTTATTTCCCATGATCCCCTCTCCACTTATTCTACCCATATGTTGAGACTTTGGAAGCCCAATATAACTAATATGACTTAGGTACTCAGTACAAAAGTCAATAGCCTCTTCACAAATATACCGTTCAACAATACAACCCTCCGGTCGACTTCGATTTTTCACATAGCCTTTCAAAATCTTCATATAGCACTCAATAGGATACATCCATCTTAAATAAGCAAGCCCACACATTTGAACCTTCCTAATCAAGTGAACAGTTAGGTGGATCATAATATCAAAGAATCCCGATGGAAAATACATCTCAAGCTCACATAGTATTAATACATGAGCTTGCAACCTTGGCAACTTATGTGGGTTAATCACTTTACTGCAAATGGACTTGAAAAACAAA